TAATTATTTACATTCTTTTGCAGATATTGGATTTTCCCGAAAGAATTTTTTGTTTCATGCGCCCTATTTGATAAAAAAAAAAAAGGAAAAAAAAATTGTATCTCACAAATGTACAATTTTCGCCGCAGGATACCACCGATATCCAGCGCCGCGTCGAAGGGAAAACGTTGTCGCGTGTCCTAAAACTTCCCCCCAAATTCGACCTATGATAAAATTCTGTCTTATAATTAAATGTCTTGTAAAGTCTCAAGAGTTAGAACTATAAAAAAAAAAAAATAAAATTTACAACACATAGAATTCTTATTATTTTTTTTTGCATAACGGATCCTTCTGAACTTTTCAATACCTCGTGGTCATAAATTTATCATTTGAGGTACATTATTTTTAAACTTTATATCATATTGCATAATTATATTAGTTGACCATTGACTGGAACGAATTGGAACGAACGTTCGAGCGATCGTGAAGCTAGAGCAACATTTGATCAATTAGAATGTTAAAAGGTTGAATTTAATATTGTGAGATTGATATTGATTCGGTGCGTATCGCGTTTCATTTAACTTTACTCATGCATAATGTAGGTCTGTATTCTTTTTCGAAGAATTTTTAACTAGTGCAATAAATTAAAATGAAACAACTATACCTGTTTCACTCTAACTTATTGTATCAATGCACATCAGTTCAGAATTTGGAGTGGAAAAGGAACAGACCTTATGTGATTTATTATAAATACATATTAAATTCCAACGTATTGTTAGAAAAAAAAGATTTATAATTTGTAGTGTTACATATAAGAGCTTCACGATCGTGCACTGGATAAAAAGAATAAAACCAGGTAGACAGCTGAACGGATAGCAGGACACTTGCCAGAGATAACAGGAATTTATTCGAAAACGATTCTGATCGAAGTTCAATTCTTTCTCGATTATCCTGTTATGGCTAGTATCCGAAATGATAAAGATTTCCAAACTGTATCTTGTAATCAAATAGAAAGTCAATTTCAATCAGAATTGTTTTCGAATAGATCCAACGTGTGCAGTTGATGAAATAGATTAATGATGCATGACATCTCGAGCATCATCATCTCGACTCCTCTCTCACTATCCAGTTTTTCTACGGTTATCGCGAAAATGGCCCACGAAAATGTAGCTCGTTCTTAATACCAATATCAATAAAAATATTATTATTAAAATATGCACAGCATATTTTAAAATGCTAAACAACATTCTTCAATAACATGCATTAACAATAAAACATTTTTTTCAAAACGTAATATTTCTACTTTTCTCCATTCATAAAATTCTTATAGACACTGGTATTAATACACCGAGCTATCTTCTCGTGCAATATCATCTTGTAAATAGGAAACCGGTCTAACCTGGTTCTATCTGACCTACCTCCAGCTCTCGGCTATGCTACGGAGCGATCAAACTCGCGAACTTTATTTCGAACGAGATGAGTAGAGAGGGTTTCAGCCAGCGATCAATGTTGTAGCGAATGTAAGCGTATCTCCATTACGGTCTTCATTGTCATCGTCATTGTTATCGTTATCGTTATCGTCATTGTCGTCATTGTCACATCGCGATGGTCACCAGAAGTGCGATTGCACGTAACCGCCGCTACCGCCGCCTCCCATTCCAATCGGATTAAATCGATGAGGATGTATCTTCTCCATCCGCATGGCACCCGGACCACCGCCACCGCCGCCGCCGCCGCCGCCGCCACCACGA